GATTTTAGTTTAACAAAAATAAACACTTAAAAGATATTTTCAATTTTTTTAAAAAAAAATTATATGAAAAAATAATTAACAAAAATAAACACTTAATAGATTTTTTTTTTTTAATCATATGAAAGTGATGAGTATTTTTTATCTTTTACATCAAATTAGCTTTTAATTTTTTCCAAAAATTGATTTTGAAACCAAACCAAACAGATTAGAATTTGGTTTCTCTGCAGTTAACTGAACATTTCAATAACTGGAGAGTAGTCCAGTTCTTATTTTTATTACTAGCATTATTTAATCAATAATTGATTTGTATCTAATTCACTATGTTTGGTCTTTTGGTCTTGCCTTCCACTATATTCTAAACAATGCTTGGGGCCAAAGAGCAAGAGATATTACGCCAAAGACAAGTAAAGCATTTAGATTTTAAAGGTGATGGTTACAGCGTATCTTTCTTTCTTAATTAATATAAATACAAAAAGAATTTTTAATTAATAAATAAAATAAATGAAGAAGGAAAGTAGTTATTAACGAACACTTTTTTATTTTTTATTTAATAAAATACTTACACGTGGGGTTTATGTTGTTTATATTATATTAGAGGACAAATTACATTCATCTCCTTGACATTCTAAAAAAAATATAATTAATTTTATATTTTTATCATAATTATATTGATTTCTCTTTTGATAAGATTAAAATGATAACAATTAATATAGATGATGGGTAGATACTAAATAAATAAAGATAAATATATATATATATATATATTAGTAAAAAAAGAATGATAATATTATTTTTTCATTTATACAACTAATAGATTACTAATGAAAAAGGACTTAATTGTTATATAAATTAAAACTTCAAGAAAGATGTGATTATGTCGAAAGTGTGAGATCTTCTATAAAAAAATATCAAACTTTACAAAGGAGTAAATAAAAGAAAGGAATATTTTCCTCTCTAGTTTTTACTAATGGAAGATGCTTATAATAATTTTTTTTTTAAACTTAAGATCCCTCCTCTATTTTGTACCACTAACCCACTTACACTCAACTGTCTCTCTCTCTAACAATGATTGCGTACATATGGTCCATCTCTCCTTTATCGCACAGAGTCACCATCGTCACCGTCCTAAGCCAACCTCCCACTCTCTACATTAGGAAATTCAATACCTCCATCGTTTGGTGGAACATCTCCGCCACCAACTCCAACTAGATAACCTTAATTGCCTCGCCTCATTTTCACTTCACAAATCTTGCTTGTTTGTTATTGTTCCTCAACTAGAGGAATGCATATATATAAAAAAATTGATGTGATATTTGACTTTTTAAGCTAAAGGCAAACTCATTTTGAATTATTAATTTGAGTAAGAGCATTATAAACAAACTAAAGAAAATTGGTCAAAACATAAAGAAAATTATAAACAGATTATAAAAAAAATTTGTGAGCAAATCAGAAAAATTTCAAAATATAAAAAATTTGAAAATACAAAAAAAATTAAAAATTGAGCAAACTTAAAAAATTTATTTATATTTTAAAATTTCTTTAAATCAAAATTTCTTCTTAAGAGATAATAATGTAATTAAATTTATATTTTATTTTATTTTTCTCGTTATGTTTCCGTCTCTTTCTATTGTCGGCCGTATGGGAGAAAATATCCTATGGCCAAATTGTCTCGAGAAAATATCAGGTGACCAAATAGTTGTCTCTTCAATCTTTTGTCGGCCAAATATCCTAGGGCCAAATTCCCGTTATACTCGGCCTTATCCATTTATAGGAGAAAATATCCTCCATTTATAGGAGAAAATCTTCTCTTTTGTCCTTTGCTCCCCCCCCCCTCCTCCTCTCTCTCTCTCTCTCTCTCTCTCTCTCTTGTTTTTTGCCAACGCGTGATCTCATTCTTGTTCTTGCAGGTGAGTTCATCCCCAAAAGCTACAAAATTCCATTCGTTGTTCTTTCTCAATATGAACTTTTAAAATCTGCAGTGACAATCTTCTTTCTCAATCTGTGAAGTTTCATTATTCATCGAAACCCATGTTATAAAATTGGAAATCTAACCTATTGATTGAGGTTTTATTTTGCTTGCTTTTTCTCAAGAATTTTAGGCATTTCTTGAATTTGAAGAGGCTGAAATGTGGAATTATTTTGTGTATTTTAACTATATAAAAGTAACCACACACCCAAAAACAAGAAACACAGCTTTAAGATCTGTACATTAATATTAGTTGAATACTTACATATTTTGTTTGTTTGATGTTGTATATAGAAATCAAAATACTATGTTTGAATATGAAACGAATTATTTTGATTGTACTATATTGTTTCTTGTATTATGAATATATTATATCTTATCATGCCCTCTACCTTAGTGATTGGTAAGCCAAATAATTTTTTTTTCCATTTTTTTTGGTATCAGAGCGTCCCTAGCCATCTCTCTCTCAACCACCCATCACTACCGACTGCCTTCTTTCTTCACTCTAGCCTCCGATAGCCCTTTTCAGCTCTTTTTCTCCCTCTGACAGCCTCAGCCCAGCCTCCGCAGCCCTTCTCCTTCCTTGTCTTCACCTCGGCAGGCCTTCTTTATCCCTGCCAAGGCTCTGGTCTGTCGACCAGACTTGGTCTGGTCTTACATGCTTCGACTGCCTTTTTAGGTGGTCCGTGGCTGTTTTTTTTCCCCTTCGTGGGGTGATTGGATTGATGTATTAAGCCTTTTTGTCTGTCCTTTTATTCTTTTGGGCTGTTGGGTTTATTCAGTAGTATCTATTTGGATAAGCCGGTGAGTTTTTTCTGACTTTTTATTTTTTTTTGGATTGTGTTGCTACCTTTGTATATTTTTCAGCCCCTTTTCTCCAACCATGACTGATCAATCCTTTGTTGATATACCCACCAAGCTTGTCCCAATTAGTTATGATTTTTCTCTTTCTCATCACACTCCTGTTCATCGTATTAAGAGTGTGGTGTTGAATGGAAAAAATTTTACTACCTGGAGCCGCTCTCTTGAACTCTATTTAGGGTGCAAGGGAAAACTCATTGGTTTTTATCTTCCACTACCCAGCCTATTGCAACAAATCCTACCCGTGCACAGTGGGACATTGATAACTGTACTATTTTGGGATAGATGTTCAACTCCATGGAAGATCATATTTATCACATGTTTCTCTATTGCAACACAGTTCTCAGTCTATGGCATGCCTTATCATAGATGTATGCTCATGCTCATAACGATGCTCGCATCTTTGAGCTCTATCAGGATATTGCTCATGCTTCCCAATCTACCTTAGGTCTTTCTATGTCAGAATTCTTTGGATACCTTTAGGCCTGTTGGGAAGAATTGGCTCAATATGAGCCCTTGACTGAGTTACTAGCATATGCTGCCTCTATAGTGTCTAAACGCCTTGTTCGCCAGCATACTTACCAGTTTCTAATGGGTTTAAACTCTGAGTTTGAATTCCTTCGAACTCAAATTTTAAACACATCACCTATGCCATCTTTTTATAAGGCCTTTGCCATTATTGACAGTGATGAGCGTCGTAGGCGTCTCGTTTAACCAAATCCTTCTCCCCTGTCTCCAGTTTCATCTAATTAGATGGCTCTTGCTGCAAAGTTTGGTTTTCGGGGTTCTACTGGTCCAGTTACTTGTCATCATTGTGGCGTTTCTGGTCATGTTAAGGTTCGTTGCTTTAAACTTCGTCCTAAGTTAAGGTAACGTTCCTCTCGTCCTCATGGTGCTAACACCCGTCGCACTGTGGCTCTAGTGGATTCCGCTACTCCTGCTCTTGGGTCTCCTCATCTCCCTAATTTATGGGCATTACAGACTCAAATTGGTCAGTTTCAGGTTCAGCTTAGATCTCTTTCTGCCAGTCCTCTTGGCCCATCATCTACCACTGTTGCTGCCATCCTTGCAATAGGTATTTCTATTGCTTTCCATCTAGGAAGCATGGATACGGATACGGGATACGGATACGGATACGATACGATACGATACGGCAATACGACAAAATTTGAAAAACTAGGATACGGGTACGGCGGGGATACGTTCGTAAAAAATATTATTTTAACAATTTTTAGTAATGCAGTATACATAAAAATAAAACTTAAAGCAAAATACAACTTGATAAAGAAGAAAGATTCCTACAAAACTAAGAGTCTTCAAAGTCAATAGCTTCAACTTGTTCCCCTTCATCAGTGAATATCACAAGACCTTAGCTAAAGCTAAATCCAAAAAACCATTCTTAGATAAAAATTTTAGCAAATATACTTTTTTAAGTCATCAATGATAGCCTAGGAAACATGGATACGAATATGGTGATATGGGGATGTGGATATGGCGATATGTCAAAATTTGAAAAATTATGATATGGGTTCAGCGGGGATACATTCATAATTTTTTTTTTTTTTTTTGTGATTTTAATAATGTAATATGCATGAAAATAAAACTTAAAGTAAATTAATAAATAAATAGAGGGATTCCTATTAACCTAAAAGTGCTCAAACATTCATAAAACATCCAAAATTAAAAGCAAAAAACAAATGCAAATGCAAATGCAAATTAACATCATCCTTACATGCCAACACCAAAAAAGAATGAGAGCAGAGAGAAGAAACGTGAGAGAGTGAGAAAGCGAGAGAGAAAGTGAGAGAGACAACAAGGATACATCAATTTGACAAATTCTATTACTTAAGCTCTCACTATATTCCTCTTATGAAAGAACTAAAACAAATATTAATAAGTAATATGTAACTTCGAGTATCCGATACTTCAAAATTAAGTATCCCGATACTTCAAAATTAATAAAAAATTAATTAAGAAGTATCCGATACTTTTAAGAAGTATCCGATACATATCCGCGAGTATCCGAGGAGTATCGGTATCCGATAAGTATCCGATACGGATACGTCACCATTTTTGAAGTATCCGTGCTTCATAGCTTTCCATGTTTGGTTTGCTAGTCTCTTATGAGTTCTGGGTTTTGGGGCTAATGATTATATGACGGGTGAGTTTTCCTTTCTTTCTTCGCCAATCCTTACTACTATTGCCCAATCTGTGTGTCTTGCTGATGGTTCGTTATCCTCTGTTCGTCATAAGAGTGTAGTGTCTTTATCTCCTACCATGACATTATCATCTGTTTTACATGTTTTAATTTTTGCATATAATCTCTTATCCGTTAGTCGTCTTGTCAAACAATTTAATTGCGCTGTCATCTTCTTATCCTCTTCTTGCCTTTTATGAGACTTGAGTTCGAAGAGAATTTTTGGCAAGGGCTATAAGCGTGATGGGCTATACTACTTTGGGGATCCACCAAATGAGCCTTCTTTTCTTCCTTAGCTAATTTTCAGGCCTCTGTTCTACCTGTTTCCATGTATTGTGTTTTTAATATTCAGACTTTAGAATTATGGTACGCTCGTATGGGTCATGTTAATTTTCGGTATTTATATCAACTTTTTCCTTCATTTAATAAAGCTTGCAAAGATTTTAAGTTTCATTGTGTGGTTTGTGAGTTGTCTAAGCATACTCCTACTAACTATATCCCTCATATGACTTATGCTCCTGGTATTTTTGATCTTATACATTCTGATGTTTGGGGTCCTTTCCCTGTCACTGTTTTTTCTGATCATAGATATTATGTGACTTTTATTGATAATCACACTAGGTGCACTTGGGTTTATCTACTTCATCGTAAGTCTGACGTTTTTTCCATTTTTGTCCAATTTTTATAGATAGTTAAAACTCAATTTCATACAGTTGTTAGAACTATCCGTTCTGATAATTGTGGGGAATATATTTCTAATGCATTTCGTTCTCATCTCAATCAAACCGGTATTCTTCAAGAACTTACTTGTCCTCAGACCCCTCAACAAACTGGTATTGCTGAACGCAAAAACCGTCATATTATATTTGTTGTCCAGTGTCTTCTTCGGGTTATAGATGTTCCCAAGTCTTATTGGCATATGGCTGTCCTTGCTGTTGTTTACCTCATTAATAGGACCTCTAGTTGTGTGTTGCATGGACTCACTCTATTTCACACCCTTATACCCACCACCACTTTGTTTCCCCTCTTACCTCGTGTCTTTGGGTGTACCTGTTTTGTTCAAAATCAGAGTCCCACTCACATAAAGTTAGATGACAAATTATTTGTTATATCTTCTTAAGGTATTCTTCCATGTTCAAAGGGTATAGGTGTTATGACCCTGTGTCTCGTAACTTTCACCACATTTTGGATGCTACATTTTGTGAGGATCTTGCTTTCTTTGGTACTGACCTTTCTTTGCAGACTTCTCCTCCTGTTACTTCTATTATTTGCCCGGTGATCATCTTGGACGAGGTTGAGAATGACGTTGTCCCCCTTCCTCTTTCTCAACCTTCACATCCTCTCCCATTGCAAGTATACTCCCGTTACCCACGAACTCAGCCCCCTTGCCACCTCTCTGATCTCTGGGTCAGGTAACTCTTCTCCTTTTCCTCCTCTTCCTCCACCTCTTCGTCGTAATCCACATCGGGATCGACGTCATCCAAATCGTTTGAGTTATTTGAGTAGTACTAATTATCCTACTTCCTAGTATCTTTCCTATGACAAGATTTCCCCTTCTTATTGTTTTTTTCTTGGTAAGTTTGAGTCGGAGTCCATTCCTCGTTCTGTGTCTGTGGCCTTTCAGAATCCCAAATAAGTAGTGGCTATGCAGACTGAAATGGCAGCTTTAGAACAGAATTACACTTGGGATCTTGTATCTTTACCTCATGGGGAAGGCATAGTTGGTTACAAATGGGTGCACACCATAAAGTACCTCGCTGATAGCTCAGTTGACCGTTACAAAGCCCGCTTGGTGGCCAAAGGTTTTACACAGATTCCTGGCAAGGATTTTGGTGCCACTTTTGCCCTTGTCACCAAGCTTACTTCTGTACGTCTCCTTATTTTCCTTGCAGCATCTTATTCTTAGCCTCTTCATCAGCTTGATGTCAAGAATGCATTTCTCTATAGAGATCTTCTTGAGACGATTTACATGGCTCCTCCACCCAATTTTCGGGCTAAGGGGAAGTATTCGGGAAAAGTGTGCTAGTTACGCAAATCTTTGTATAGTTTGAAACAGTCTCCATGAGTATGGTTTAGTCGGTGCAATTCTATTATTATATCTATGAGTTTTGTTCAGTGCCACTCCGATCACATTTGTTTCATTTATCGGAATTCTATAGGTCAGTGTATAATCTTGTTAGTTTATGTGGATGATATTATTCTCACAAGTAATGACTCTATCGGCATTGGTCAAGTAAAGAAGGACTTAGGCCAAACTTTTGATATTAAGGATCTACGATGTCTCAAATATTTTTTGAGAATTGAGGTGGTTCGCTCAAGGAAGCAGATCTCCTTGTCTCAAAGAAAGTATACCCTTGACTTGCTTTAGAATACTGGTATGTTAGAGTGTAAACTTGCTTCTACTCCTATGGATTCTAATGTCAAACTCACATCAGAGTCCGGTGAGTTGTTGGATGACCCAGGCCTGTATAAGCGTCTTGTTGGACACCTCATTTATTGGACCAACACTAGACCTGACTTGACATTTGCAGTTAGTGTCGTGAGTCAGTTCATGCATGTACCTCGTAAAGAGCACCTTGACGCGGTTCATCATATTTTGAGGTATTTGAAGACTTCTCCTAGCTTGAGATTGTTCTTTACCGTTGGTTTCTAATATGGGCTCTCCTGTTTCATTGATGCATATTATGCAGGATCTAAGATTGATCGGCATTTCACTTCTGGCTTCTATATTTTCTATGGTGATCATCTTATCTCATGGAAAAGTAAAAAGCAACTGGTAGCTTCTAGGTTTTCTGCAGAAGCTGAGTATCGAGCTATGGCACATGGGACATATGAGATTCTTTGGAGTCGCTCTATTCTGGCAGAGTTGGGTTTTGAGAAGGCTGTTCCTTCCTCTTTATTTTGTGATAACAAATCTGTCATTGTGTTATCCCCTGGTTCCGTGCTTAGCGTACCAAGCATATCGAGGTTGACATACATTTTATTCGAGAAAAGGTTCGGACTGACATTGTGCGTCTATCCTTTGTCTCTTCTTTTCAGCAGTTGGCAGATATGTTCACAAAATCTGTAGGATCAACTTTGCTTTAGTCTTCCATTGACAAGCTGCGTTTGTTGAATATCTTCATGCTAGCTTGAGAGGGGAGGGAGGGAACTTGAGAGGGAGTGTTGAATATCGAAATCAAAATATTATGTTTGAATATGGAAATTAGAATATGAATTATTTTGATTTTAGAAATCTTATCTTGTGTATATTGTTTCCTAAATTGTATCATGAATATATTATATATACATGACATCTATCACATTGATTGGTAAGTCAAATAATTCTTTCCATTCTTTTTTTGACACTTTGTTGTTGTTTCTGTAACAATTTGGAATTTTTATTTATTTATTATTTTTGTTGGCAAACCATAAGATGTTAGTGGGTTAGTAAGTTAGATTATAACGAACGAGCCCCAGTTGCTTTATCGACTCGAACCCTGAATCTTTGATTTTGTCACCGTTCAAGAGACAACTATATGGACCACTAGGCCAAATGCCCCATCTCAATTGGGAAATTGAATCTATAGTGACATTATATGTATAATAGGGATAGGATTTTAAACTTAAGAGACAGTGCAGGTGTGAACGCCAGCAAGTGGCCAGATTATTATCAGATTACTCTGATTCAGTGTTCTATAAATTTTTCCCAAGAAACTCAAAACCATATTTATTTTTGTACAAAAGGCTTGCCACAATTTGCTACTAACTTCTGTTAATTAGCAAAACAAGCTCTTACACTCGACACCCAAGTAACTAGCATAGTGGTCATGACTTAGGATTCGTGCATAGATTGATACAAATCTACAAGAAAATCTATTTTGGAATAGAATTGATAGTGATTTGCATGATTCAGGATTTAATTCTTGTTTTTCTAGAAATTATTGAGTTTGATGGGTTCCGACTCATTTTTACCTCTTTTTTTTCAAAAAAAAAAAATGCCCAAATAAGAGTGTGTAATAAAAAAATGAAATATGCATGGTTTAATGTTCTTTTGGTGATGAGAGGGTTTGGTAGGATCCGATCCATCCAATCTAGACCCGATAGGTTCTTAACCATTGTGGTTTCCCCCCCCCCCCCTCCCTGCCCCCCCCTCTTCTAAATTCAAACCTAATGGCTCTACAATTTTCTTTTTTACTTTTGTAAAAAATAAGTTACACACGTATTAAAGTGTTTAAGGTTTAAAATAAAGGTTCTCATTACCCTTCCTTCATATTATACTCTATTTAGGGTTTTTAGGTCTATTTTTTGAATGTTAGAATATATTATGGTTTTGAAAGAATTTATAGTTGGTGGGATTCGAATCCACATCTCTTGCTATGATCGTATTATCTTCCCAAATTAGGCGACTAATCATGTCCCTTATATAAGATTTATTGTATTACAATTTATGTGTGTTAAAATCAATTAATTTTTATATATTTCATATATTCAATTGTTTGACATTATTTTTTGTAGTTTGTGTTGAATCTTATGATTTTTTGTTCTATTTGATTCACGATTCGCAAATTTAGGATTTCAATTCACTATACAATTATTGATTGGACAACTATGGTTACTAGAACATGCTACTAAAAAAATAACGCCCAATTAGTACACATTAATGTGTGTTTGGGAGGGGAAAGATTGAGTACACACCTAACCTTTGGCATAATGCACAAAGTGATGGCCCCAAGACTTGAACCCATAACATTAAGGTTATTAGGCCAAGTATTAACCATTGAACCAATGGTCACCCCTTACTAGAACATGCTACTATCCTAGCAAATTCTCTTTTGGAGCGCATTCAAAGACATGGTTGCACTTTTGTTTTTTTTTGGAAAGAAACTCTTGTTTTGGGGACCATAGTTACTAAAAAAATTTAATACCCTACCGATAGGCTAGCAAAAAGACTCATACTAGTTTCCTATGGATTGGGTTGGGTTGGCTTGGCTTTGCTCGGTCCAAGCCTGCCTAGCTCCTGACAAATCTGGGTCTAGCTGGATTGGGCCAATTTCCAAAACCCAATTGGAGGAATATGCAATACATTGATATGTTACCTACAAATTTCAAAAACTAAAAATAAATAATTTTATAATGATAGAAAATAACATAATGGAATCTTAAAAAAGAGAAGAAAAAAAAAAGAAAAGAATTACATATCTAACACATGTGACTTTGTTTGAAAGTTCAATATAGGTGCTATGCTATTACACTAAGCTACTACACCATTAAATGATGGTGTACATGTTACAACAAAAACAATTGAAAGGTTCCAAATACCCTAATGTTAATGGTTTCGAAATTGTACTTTAAATTTCTGATATTTGTTGTTGCAATGTTGGTAAGGACTGGGAGGGTATATGAATGTTTTTAGATGCTTCTTGGTGTCTCTGATAGAGGAAAATTGTAAGCTAAAAGCATTAGAATAAGAATTCACTCGCTGGTTGTCTCCTTAATCATCAGCCATCAGGTAAATTGGAATCATTTTGAGTGCTTGTAGAAACCAAGTTGCGGCCTGATTTGGATGAGTCACATTAGAATACATGCTTCATGCTTAGCATATCACACATTCATTTTGGTGCTGCTTTGAACCTGATTTGATTTTACAAAGTCAATAGAGATATAGCCAATAATTCAAACACAATTATAGTGAGCTAATTGTATTTGTGCAATATGCTTAATAGTTGATGCATAAAAAATTGTTAGTGAGGTTCAAACACAATTGATTCTTGTCTATTATTGAAGTGGGAAGCATAGATACAAATGTTATTTGTGTGTCTTTTTTATTTTCATTTTCTAAAAGATAGCCTTTGTTGTCTCTGTTATATTTATATGGAACAAGGTTGGTTGTGAACCATTTTATATGCACCCTCACTCCATTGTCATTGAAGGTTTTGCATCAGGTTTTTCAAAACTATTTCAACCAACATACATTTTGATTTTGGTGGAGATGCCGGTGGGTCAATCAGGTGCTCATACGATAAGATATACGATAAGATCCCATGGAGTTCAAGTGGCAAAGACCCATATGTATGATTGGCTAATTCTCTTGCTTCTTGTGGCGATAGAAGTCGTTTTGATTGTTATAGAACCATTTCATCGTTTTGTGGGAGAGGAAATGATCACAGGCCTAAAGTACCCATTGAAACCCAATACTGTCCCTGTTTGGGCCGTTGGGGTATGTGTACCTTTTTTTTTTTTTTTTTTTGAATTTTATTTTTGATAAGAAATGTGCACTTTAAGAGACATTATGCATGGAAAACTTTGGTCTGATAGATAGTGTGAAGGATATTCACTTCTATGATAAACCTAAAATGAGGCGTGGTTTTCTTCCCTTCTTGAAACAGGTGATTGCTGTATTGTTGCCTTTTGCAGTCATTCTTGTCTACTACTTCATTAGGAGGGATGTTTATGATTTCCATCATGCCGTATTGGGTAGAGTTCTACCCTTCGAAGATTTTTGTTATTCTAGTCTTAGATATTTATATGTTATTATTGTAATGCAATGATATATGTTGATTTTGTATGCATGTTCAGGCCTTCTATTTTCTGTACTTATAACTGGAGTTTTAACTGATGCAATCAAAGATGCTGTTGGTCGGCCTCGTCCAGACTTCTTTTGGCGTTGCTTCCCTAATGGCAAAGCGGTGAGACCTCTTCAACTGCTTTATTTTTCTTATTAAGTTATTATGTTATGTTTCCTCAGATTTATATAATTAGGTTTTATTCTTGTAGATTATTTAATACTTTCATGCATGTCATGTTTAGGTATTTAATAATGTCACAAGGAATGTTATGTGTACTGGACAGAAAAGTGTTATCAAGGAAGGATACAAAAGTTTCCCGAGCGGGCATGTGTCTTGTAAGTAGCAAAATTACAGGCGACATAATAAATATTGTATATATAGCTTGTTGCTGATTTTGCAACACTGTTCCTTTTATAAGCATAATTTGTTTTGCTGTATTTCTATTGGGGTTTTCTTGATTATGTGTATACTAACCCTTTAGCTCAAATGTTATATAGTTGCCTTAAACAATATGCATTGTTGAGCTCCTTTCTTAGCATCTTAGCTTTTGGGACATTTGGTGTTTGAACATGGTATTAGAACTCAGTTGAGAAGAGGCCTTTAGTTCAAGTTTGTCTATTTGCTTTTGTTTTCCCGTTTCCATTCCATTAACGTACATGTTTGGATTCTCGCATGGCCACGTGCAAGACAAGGTCGCACGTGAGGGAAGGTGTTGGAGAGCTAGATATGTATTGTTGGGTCCTTTTTTTTTGTTTTGGGACAATTGGTGTTCTAATAACCGAAGTATGACTATTTCTGACATCTTGGATTAGTTATCCATAAGGGAATAGATATTAAAGAGACTGCGACAACAGACTTAGAATGGAAAATGAAAAAAAAAATGCTTCTTGGAGTACTATGCCATTGTCAAATTTTTGCTAAGTTGAAGAAAAAGTTTTATAGGTGGTTATAAGGCCATTTATGTTTTATCAGTAAAGAAACATGTTAATAAAATGAGCACGAGTGACTAGGAGGTGGGGGGGTGGGGGAATCTTCTTGGCCACCTTTATGTCACGCCCCCCATTGGAGAAGGTGTGATGTTTGGTGCTCTGCTCGTTTTGATGTGGATTATATGGGGAGAACAAAGTAGGGCTTTTGAAGGGATTGAAAATCCAATTTTTTAGTTGAAGAGTAGAATATTATCTTTCGTTTTGTTGGTTTTCACATGGAGTAGATCCCTCCTTGAACCAATATTTGGATTTTATAAAGTTTTTTGATTAAAGCTTGGATATATAGTTGACATATGTCTTTTCTTTTTATCTTCTTTGTACACGGGTCGTACTTCTTGGTGCCGCTTTTATAAAATAATTATTAAAAAAATGAGTGCAAGTGAAAGGAGAATGTTGAGATGGACGAGTGACCATAAAAGAAAAGAAAGAGAAAGAAATGAATGGATTCATGTGGAGTTAGAAGTGGCATCAATTAAAGATAGGACGAGGGAAAGCCATTAGTAAGGCTTCATTAAGGAAGAGTGATTTGATTCTAGTTGAATGTGCTAAGAGGACAAGAGGAAGGCCAAGGATGGCATAGGTTGAAGGGGTGAGAAAGGACATTATTGCCCTTAATTTTGAAGAATATGAATTTGAATAGAGCTAATTGGAGAAAATAAATCTGCATAGCCAATTGCATGGAATTGGGATTGAAGCTTGTTGAGTTTCCTATGCAACAAGCTATTCTCATCGTAAGTTTCTTGGGACTTAAGAAGCATAGATGCTTTTAAGAAGGTAAAGCGCCATGTCCAATACCGACACGACATGACACAAGTTAACACCCATCGAACACTTTCCAATACTTAGACACACATGAAACGCATTACAAGTTTGAATAAGATAACTTGGTATACAATGATAAAATAGAAGCAATGTAAATTTATACCTAATTCTTCCTTTAGAATTTAAAAATTATTGTCGGACTTAAATATTCATATATATATATATATGTCATATAATAAATATGTAAAATTATATATTTTGCGCGTGTTCTCCGCGTGTTGTGTCTTACATATTTTGAAAATTTGAGTGTTGGCATTGTGCTTTTCGTGTCAAATGTCCCTGCTTCATAGCTTGGAACATAAGACTGTAATTGGCAGACCAGCAGTTAACATGGAAGGCACATGGTTATGTTATTACAAATTATGTGTTTTATATGTTATACACAGCTTGCAACTGCTGCATTAATTTTTTTCTCCCGCTCATAATGGGGTGGTTGGATGTGCCATATTTACTGATCCAGTGGTGTTTTCATAATATTAAAGAAGAATCTGTTGGATTTTAGGGGACTTTTGATTCACTTCTCATTGAATATGGATCATCCCATAAGGCAGAGAGTGAGTGCTTTCTTTCTTTCTTTTCATGCATTTGGAATGCAGAAATAATGGGTGTCTCTTTGTGCATATGCCAAATTATTTTTCCATATAAAGTTGTTCTCTGTTCCCCTGGTACACATAAAAACACAAGCTTATTTGAACTTATGTAATTGATATATGTAGGGTCTTTTGCGGGTATGGGTTTTCTCACATGGTATTTGTCGGGGAAAATCCGGGTATTTGATCGTGGGGGCCATGTTGCAAAGCTTTGTGTCAGTGTTCTGCCCTTACTTGTTGGAGTTCTAGTGGCAATTTCAAGAGTGGATGACTACTGGCATTATTGGGAGGATGTATTTGGTTCAGCTGTTATAGGTCTGTGATTTGTCGATAGAATCTTCCCTTGCCAACTTATTCTTCTTTTGTTTACATTGCTTGCTTATCATTTATCCTTCTTTTTTTTTTTTTGTGTGTGTGTGTTGTTGTTGTTGTGTGCAGGATTGACTGCTGCTTCATTTTGTTACTTGCAATTCTTTCCACCCCCATATGACATGGATGGTATGTCCTTACTGTGTCAAAACATTGTTATTTTCAATTGTTTGATCTCTTTACAACCATAGGTCTGTAATACAACTATATGGGAATTGACATCCAGATACATGTTCAATAGAAATTTCATGCATTTGAGAAAATAAGAAGGGGGGGGGAGGATATGCCTGGCAAGATGCATTTTTAATCTATCTGATATATTAGAAATTTTTTTGTACCTGTTTGTTTGCTATTTTGAATCTGTATTTTTGTGTTATATAGTCTGTCATTCTAGTTTAGATTTCCACCTTGTGCCCATTATATGAGTGATTTCTTTTGCACAGATAGTAAATTATAGGATTGAAATAAGATTTGGTTTTCATTTAGGAAACAAAACTATTTTATTGAGAGTGTCCCCCATTGTATTGTTTCTAAATTCTACCCTTCTGAAATTTTCAGTAGGGTTTGACTTCTAGTGTAAAATTGCTAGAGAAGAAAGCTTCTTTATTACAATCTAAGAGGAGTATTTAGGCAAGGTTCTAGATCATGTTAATTAGTAAGGAGCTGTGTTATATTTATGATTATCTACTGGTTTGTTCTATGCTTTCTCATTCAAAACTGGTTTGTGAAAGATTTTGAAAGAGAAGAAAAGAAAAGAAAAATTCAAGTCATTTTTAATCTTTTTTGGAAGGATGGGGTTTAATCTTCGCTCTCTAAATGAAGTGAATATAAATGGCGAACTTTAGTACGTTAGGTGGCCACGACACCTTAAGCTGTTATTGGAGTTATGTTAAAGAAATGGGTCCTATGTTAAAATGTTACAGCAAAAGACCATGGCGGAGGATTGTTTTAAAACAGAGTTGGTCCCTTTTGAACATATAGTTTTTGCACTTCACTGTGAGGTCATTTGTCGTCTCCTAGTTTTGCTTCCACAGCTCTTTTCATGATAAACTTGCATCTATCATCATGAATTTTGGATTGTCTTGGAATTTGGGCCAAGTAATTTCATCGTTAACATTTATGTAATCTAATAGTCTCTCCCTTTGATCCTCTTCTTCTTCATTGATTTTTTTTGGGTAAGTAAGGGTGATTACTGGAGGCTGTTCCTTGAAAGACTGTTTTTTGTATTTTTACTTCCAAATTCCAACTGTCATTGGTTTTTAATTCTAGAGAAGGGGGAATAGCAAGATATTTGCCTATTTTTAGTGGTTTTATTTTTTCCCTCTATTTCCTAGTTTAAAATACTGAGGAGATTCGGATTGTAATCTTTGATTACTCAAACCTGTTCCATCTCTTTCTCACCCTCTCCCCAGTTTCATATCTGTTTTCCGGCTTTCAGTATTTGGTTATTGTCAATGTGCATTATTTCAGTGAAAGGTTGCATCACTTTTGCATCCCAAATGTCTTCTCTTATTAAAGCTTCTACCCTACACTGATCCATTTTTTTTCATTGTTGTGTGTTTAATTTAAGCATATCTCGAACTCTTAGGTCAGTTGTAGTGTGTTAGTTTATTGTAAAATATTTAATATTCTGCTGACCAGAACTTGTTTTTGCTCCCCATTTTAGAATTATTATTTTCTTAGGTCAAAGTCACTTCCACTGTTTCAGCTTTTATTATTATTATTATTAGTGTGCATATGCTACTAATTGAATTTCATGCTATGGGAGGTTCGAAGAGGGCCAAAGTGCTTATGGTCTTGTGCCGTTTTTGCAACTTTTTGGGTTCTATGATTGGAAAAAAATGTGCAGTAGTTCTAAGATAAATCTCGGGAAATGAACTGGTTGTGAGATAAAGTTTGTCACTTAACTTCCTTTTGGACTTCAATGAATTCTCTCTTTAAGGGGGTTCCATTAGTTCTGTTAGTTAGAGATTGGTTGACGGTGTGTGTGATGTAGATTTTTGCTTGAGATAGTCTTTGTTTGGCTTATGTAGTTCTTACTTTCATTTTCGTTTTGTAAGCGGATGCCTTATCATCATTCCTTTTTGGGAGATGTTGCAATGTGCATCCTCAAAGAGGTGTATATGGTATGCTTTCATAACTTTTTCACAAAATTTCATAACTTAAACCCAAAATGTCATAACTTTTTTCCACTGAAAAATGTTATAACAAAATCTCAAAGTGTCGTAACAAAAAACATAAAATATCATAATATTGTCATTCCTAATTTTAGGGTGCACGTCATAAATTCGCTATTTATAACTTTATTACAAAATGTCATAACACACATCACAAACAATCATAACGTTCATCATAAAAAATCTAAACTTTTTTATAATGTGCACCATTTGAAAGGGTGTGCACATTGATCAAAAAACAATTATAATAATTATTATTATTATTTTAATTCTTTAGATGACCATTGTTTCTGCTGTTGGGCACTTCGTATTCAATTTTTTGGCTTCATCTTTTGTTTGAATTCAGTTCAAAAAAAAATTTCTTTTGTCTGAATTACCATTTGGTCGGGTATAACCACTGCTCTTTTTACTGATTGCTTAATGGTTTTATGCTCTTTGAGCTCAATCAGGATTAGACTTTCTTGGGCCTAGTGGAGATTCACCACACATTTTGATAATTATTATTTTTTTTTTAATTCTTTAGATGACCATTGTTTCTGCTGTTGGGCACTTCTTATTCAATTTTTTGGCATCATCTTTTGTTTGAATTCAGTTCAAAAAAAAATTTCTTTTGTCTGAATTACCATTTGGTCGGGTATAACCACTGCTCTTTTTACTGATTGCTTAATGGTTTTATGCTCTTTGAGCTCAATCAGGATTAGACTTTCTTGGGCCTAGTGGAGATTCACCACACATTTTGTAGCACCAATTTCATTCCAATTGAAAGTGTTTTTAAAATGAAGGAAAATAGAAAGAAGAAATTGAGAAGAATGCTCATTGCATCTTATTGATAATATGGCAGAAAGCTAGCCGACCCATATAACTCATCCTTGTGTGATGATGGAAACATCTCATGTTATTTATACCAATTGAAATAGTAAGAGTTCCATGTACAGGATCCCATTTTGAGATATAGTTTGCTATTCCTTTTGATACCATTCATTTTCCATGCACACGCAACAAATTTTACATATGCAATTATTGTAGCATTTTTAATTTTTTTTTTTTTTTCATCTTCATCTTAGAGTAGTGTACAAGCATCATCTGCATCAGTACTCTCTTAATTCACACGTCTTTGCTCCTTTTGTCATTTTGGATGCAGGTGCGTTTCCACATGCTTTTATTAAAATATTGGCAGATTCCCAGAACACCACTCAGTCCACATCCAACAATGCCAACCGTAATGTATATAGCCAGCCTCACCAAGGGATGACAATGTCAGAAATCAGTCTGAGGGACACGAGCCCAATCCTAGATGAGATGGAAAGTGGGAGAAGATATTGACTTCGAGGTTTCGATTGCAGGGTACAAATAGATATATGATTATATCACTAGATGTGCATACCCTCTGTAGGATGAGTTGTGAAGTGTGCTTGGTTTCATTTACATGAAAAGAGTTGTACATGCAACATAGATTTATATGTTTTCAGCTACTTATATCACAGTATTGTCCTGCTTTTTTCATTATCTATTGTCTTGTTAATTGAATGCAACATTGGCTTTTTACTCCATCAAATGCTCCATGTACTAAAATTCTTACTAGAAATTTTACTAAGTAGGCATGTGTCCATCAAATGTTCAAGTATTATTATTATTTTTTGATGACTTTATTTTTAATAAATTCACTGGGAGTGTTAGTATCTATAAAATTATTCTTTTTATCCTCTCATGGGAATTGTTTTGAAGCATGAGAATGGTGTAGGGTGGTGTGGAGTCTTTTGTCGATTGTCTATATTGATTGCGTAGAGAATTTGAATACTAAAATCACTTTAGTCTCGTTTGGCAAGTGAAGAAAATAGCTGAAAGATCAAAAAACACTATAAGTTGTTACATCATTATCTGTACTCTTGTTATACATTTTTCGTAAAAGCCTAAAAAACTTATTAAAATAGTTAATTTCCAAATGTGCAATCAACTTAGGGAGCTTGAAAAAAGCCTGGAAAATGGATAAAATTATATGAATCAAATTTATTTTAAATATATTCTCTCACATTAGGTTTTCTTTGAGAGTTGGAATTTTTTATTTATTGTTTAAGTTCATTTAGACTAGATCATCCTAAATATTATCTTAAAATTGCCAGCCAAATGAAGTTTTAAAATTTTAATTTACTTTATAAAGTTTTTTAATCACATCTATTTAATTTTTGGGGGGGTCACAGCAGCTTCTTTCTTCTTTCTTGCTTAATTTTTTTCCCGCTAAAATAGTTTGCTATTTATACTTTTTCACTGGTTTTTTGGCCAGATTGATGAAATAGGATTAATTATACTTAAAACCATTCCATTTTTATTAAATTCTATATTGATTCATTCACTTTTAATTGTCATAATCAACAATTAACACTTCAAATTACGTTGCAAATCTACCAACATTTCCCTCCCGTCTGCCTATTCATTAGAGCATGGACCCAACCGGTGGCATCCACGTGTCTTTGAAGTGACTAATGTCAATGTGGCACATAAACCGTGCAATTTTTTTATGGCATGGCCGAGCATCATGAATTCACAGGTGACCAAGAGCAAGGCAAATGCTCGGTCATCTGGAATTTTGGACACAATTGTCCCGTGCTGAACAAATGGGTCTAGGGAACAGTTGAAGGAACAGAGTTGATCGAGCTAGGCTACGCCCAGAGAGGATGGTCAACCTGGCCAGGGGTGAACCACTGAGCTCACTATAAGGCCCATTTATTGACCGATTAGTCGGGCTTAGGTGCCAGCTCATGTTTACCGGCACAATTAGCATCCCTAACGTGCCTAATTTGTATAAGGCTAGTCAAAATGTGAACTGTTATCCATCCATAAAAGGATTAATTTCTTAACTGTTCTTTCATTTTCTTGACAATCAAACTGATTTGCCCTGGTATATTTTTAATAAAAATTAATTTTACGGAAAGTTTGGATCTTCTTTTGATAACTGCACAAGAAAAATGAATAGAGAGTTTGTTTTATAATTTAGATTTTTTTTTACTGGATTTACATTTAAAATGGATTTGAATTATATATTAATTTTTTAAATATATTTTTTAATAATTACTTCTATGCATATAATATGGCTGTACAAGAAAATCACATTAGTACATACATGCCCCTAGTTAAGAAAAATTCAACTATTAATTGATTGAACAAGTCCAAAGAAAGAGCTTATAATTAATTGGCATAGGTTTTGTGATGAAATCCCCAATATCCATGGTCAAATACTATGTGCAAAAAAAAAAAAGTTTCTATTTATAAATTATTCTTTGGATGTGGTTGGGTGGTAATAAGATATTGAAGTGTTATACCAAAGTTTCAAGTTCGACTCTTCTCAGGGTCAGCCATCTAAGCGAGTAGGACTAACATTCTAAATTTCGGCAAACCATACATAGTTAAAGGATTTTGTATAGCTCTACTTAAGGGTAATTTATGAGGTTTTAACTCCATTAAGGTTAGTTGCAGAGGTCACATTTATATAATTAGGTCTTTTTATGTTTTGAGAAGATAAAATATATACTACTTATCTTAATTTCTAAAGAGATTATTTTTTCACCAGAGCACACACCACCAAAAATGCTAATGATAAATCTTACTATTGAACCAAATATTTATTCAATAGAACATCACAACTGGGCATACAGACATTAGTACACAATCCAAAATGAAATGTGTATTATAGAAATTTTCATTTATTAATCCATTGCTTGGGCAAGGCAGCCTGGCAATATTGACCGCACTTAATTTGAACATAACTTTCACTACAAGAAAAGTGAGCTTAAAAAAGATGGAACATTTGCGACGGCACAACTTGCTACCACATTATTCCCACTTAAAAAGAGAGACAAATGAGTTTGATGAGGAAAAAAAAAATTCAACACAAACAATTAACTAATCCTAACTAAAATTTAGGAACTGAAAATCTCGTACACTTAACTAGGTTAATTTGCCATGAGATTCTTTATTTCAATTTTATATCCCAACTTTATGTCACATTCTTTGCCTTTGTTATGTCGTTCTTATTTAAAATCAATGATTATCTCATTATTTAATTGAGTAACACAGCTAAATTTAATCACACAACCTAAGAGAGTTTGGTCTTGATTGAAAGATGTCTAAATAAATCAACAATTAACATGTAATCATTCAAGTTATTAGAAATAATTTTGAAGATACTGCTTCAAAAATTTTAAGTAGTTTCCTCGATTGTCCAAGTAGAAATTATTTACATGTCAACATCTTATACTTCTCATTTAAGTAGGATTTGCATGTTGACGTTTGGAGTATAGAAGAGTGCTACCAATATAGATGTGCTCCATATAATAGAACACAAATATAAGACAAAATGGTAAGACCCATATGTGGACCTCACATCACGTGAGATCCACCTTTGTCTCACATCTATATTCCTAAGATTATTGTTGAAGTATATAGTTTTTATATTTATAAGATATATTACACAAATCTTTTTAGAAATTCAAAAAAAATAAAAATAAATAAATAAAATTCTTATAATTTTGACATAATTTAATTCATATAACATTTAGCTCACTCTTTCACTATTAATTTATTAATCACATGTAAAAAATGATATTCTCATATATTTTATATAGAAATATATATTTTGTTTTACTTATTTTTGTGTCTTCACACCTGCATTAGTTTCAATTTGATCCTTTTTAATCTTATTAAAAAAGAGATTAGTATGATTATATCAAAATCTTAGAGTTACTTGTATTTTCTGCAAATGTAAAAAAAAAATTCAATATATAATTTACACATTTTATTATTTATTTTTTTTTTTGATCTGCAAAAGAAAGCTTTATTGATGGAAAACATAACGAGTACGATAGTTACATCAATAAAGAAGAGGGTGCAAAAAGCATCACAGTGAAACATTTGGATCCCAACTAGGTTGGCACCTAAATGCACACCAAATCATCTGCTAGCACACACTCGAGGCTCCAAGATGATGAGAAACCATCAAACAGAGCGAAACAAAACAAACAAAAACAAAAAGGCCACAGAAGCACGCCAAAGCTGGGTCATAAGACAGAACACCAAAACAGTGGCTGAGCATAACAAACAATAGCAGACCAGTGGTTGCACCAGAACTGAGCATAATCATACTAGGACCAAAAACTCTGCCGTTCAATCACCATTCACCATTCAAACACCAATCTGTCATCCATAGACGCAGCCAGATTTGAGGGTGGAGAACCAAGCCAACATCAGTCCAACCCCAGCCACCACCATCTCAACAGTTAGCATGTTAGCAGCCTAACAGCAAGCTCCCATAGTCATCTCAACAGTTAGCATGTTAGCAGCCTAACAGCAAGCTCCCATAGTCATCTCAACAGTTAGCATGTTAGCAGCCTAACAGCAAGCTCCCATAGTCATCTCAACAGTTAGCATGTTAGCAGCCTAACAGCAAGCTCCCATAGTCATCTCAACAGTTAGCATGTTAGCAGCCTAACAGCAAGCTCCCATAGTCATTAAGTAGTTTCCTCGATTGTCCAAGTAGAAATTATTTACATGTCAACATCTTATACTTCTCATTTAAGTAGGATTTGCATGTTGACGTTGGAGTATAGAGGAGTGCTATCAATATAGATATACAATATAGATGTGTTCCATGTAATAGAACACAAATATAAGACAAAATGGTAAGACCCATATGTGGACCTCACATCACGTGAAATCCACCTTTGTCTCACATCTATATTCCTAAGATTATTATTGAAGTATATAGTTTTTATATTTATAAGATAGATTACACGGATCTTTTTAGAAATTAAAAAATAAATAAATAAATAAATAAATAAATTCTTATAATTTTGACATAATTTAATTCATATAACATTTAGCTCACTCTTTCACTAATAATTTATTAATCACATGTAAAAAATGATATTCTCATATATTTTATATAGAAATATATATTTTGTTTTACTTATTTTTGTGTCTTCACACTTGCATTAGTTTCAATTTGATCCTTTTTAATCTTATTAAAAAAGAGATTAGTATAATTATATCAAAATCTTAGAGTTACTTGTATTTTCTGCAAATGTAAAAAAAAAAATTCAATATATAATTTACACATATTATTATCATCATCATTATTAGCAAAAAAGAAAAAAGTTTTATTGAAAAGCAATCCAAAGTTCAAAAACCTACATCAGATAGTTCCAACATGTTATATAAAGGCCCTCTCTTATATCTTCCAACTCACAAACTTGGCTTTCTTGCTTCTCTCTGTCTGTCTCTCTCTCTCTAAAAATGGACATTGTTCCTGCAACATATGTTGAAAACATCAAGAGCTACTGGAGGAAAAGGAGCTACCAACTACTCGATGAAGGAACTCAGAGCGAAAAGGGTCTGAGTAACAAAAGGCTTGGCAGCAAAACTTGCCGGGCTTGGAAGATCAGCCAAAAAGTCCCAAAACTCCGGAAGTTTTATTGAAAAGCAATCCAAAGTTCAAAAACCTACATCAGATAGTTCCAACATGTTATCATCTTCTATGTAAAGGCCCTCTCTTATATCTTCCAACTCACAAACTTGGCTTTCTTACTTCTCTCTGTCTGTCTCTCTCTCTCTAAAAAT